TCAAATGGCAGGCTTTATGATAAGTATCATTAGCCCTTTAGTTGAATTCGGTTTTCACAGAGGTGAGGAACATCAAAGGCATAAAAGGTGGAGAGGGAAGAGAAGAGTGATTTATAGAAGTAAAAGAGACACAGGGACACAAAGACAGAGAAAAAAGTAAGATGAGTACTGTGGAAGTAGTGGAATATGGCATACAGTGGGGTCTTGATAGTTTGAAATAAGAAGTCAACTGCCGGTTTATGGACATTTTTGTGCCTATGAGTACACGTTGCCCAGGGTGCACCACGTGGAGGTAAGTCTATCGCGCACCTCGTTAAGGTAGCAAAGATTCAATGAAAAGAATTGTGTTTGTAGGAATTATTGAAGATATGAACGTTTCACCTCGATCAGACTAATTTTCATCCTAGAATCGATAACTTACCAATATCTCACCAGGCAGATGCTGGTGTTGCTCTGTTTGAAATAGACTCCAATACTCATCACTCCACCTTTGGTAAGGTTTCAAACATATTTTCCCAATTCACAATCGAGAGAGATGCTTCAATGATGTATATTCGGAAGAAAAGAGAGTCATCCTGTTCGACAGTTACTTAACAATCTCCGTTCTCAATGAGGTCATCTATGTCAACTCTTGAAGAGTAGATCTTAAATCAAAACCTGTTGATGAGATCAAAATGCACGTATTTAATATTCTGTTTTTTCATTTAGAAGAAAATTAAATGAATCTTTTAACTTCATGGTTTTCTCACAGACAGAGAGTTATTCAATGTGAATTTTTGATAGAAAATAAGTGAACTCAATAAAATCGAAATATAATTAAAAACCCATTTAGTAGAAGGGTGTCTATAAAATTTATCCTGGAGAAGAAAAAGCTTAAAAGCATATTACTATCCTTCGAAACAATCGAACTAACTGATTTTCTAAAGCAATAAATTATTTCTTCAATTATTTATGCGTCTAATGGAGACGATTTCGTTGGAATACGAGTCGGTCGAGAAACAGTTTTGACTAGGTAAATGCCACATTGAATTATAAATCCTACTTAAATATTAAAAGTAGACTTGGCTGTCCCAATTTGAGTTCCACTCCATTTGAAGATTGACATTTTACAGTACATGTATTTTGTAATAATAAATACAATTCCAAATTTTCAGTTGTTTGACAGGTCAAATGATAGGCCTAGGGTAATTTAATCTATATTCTTCTAATGCTATGTGAAATTCACTTTTTGCACAGGGCTTTGAAGATGTCCTCCAATGTCGGCTTCTTTGGTACTTTTAGGAAATATAAAGCGTAACTCCATACGTATTAAAAGCAGAAAATAGAAACACATCTCCTAAGCCAAGGAAATCAGTGCGAAAACAGATCTTATTAATAATAATATGATTTCACGTTAGTTGAAATAACCTCCAACTAAATATCTCAAGATGTGTATTCTCATGGCTTGCATTTGCAATGTACTCTTCAGCTCTACCTTTGAAGTGACGGTTATCATTGTTCTATGGAGCATTTGTCATGCATGCTCAAAGTCCATTCTAATTAGACCTTCCTGACTCATTCTTCGTATCGTTTGACGTATTTATTTGATGTGCAAGGCACATATTCATAAAGCGTCCTTATTGAAGAAGATCTGCTTTTAATCCACTATTTAGACTTTCGGCCTTTTGAACCTACATAGTTGTTCAAACTTGTAGGCCAACATAATTAACTTCCTAGAAATTACAAAACAGAACAAAATTTTCAATCTGTTATCGTACAGCAAATTGGAACCCCAAAATGACGCATTAATCAATTCAGTAGTTCATGCCAGTAAACAGTGATTAGAATTCCAAGCATCTCATCCTAAGTTCTTCGTCGGGTGGTATTTATATTGTTTAGCAGGGGTGCGCGATCGACTTACCTCCACGTGGTGCACCCTGGCCAACACATACTCATACGGCAGTTGACTTTTCACCTCAAACTATTATCACCCCACTGTATGTCATATTCCACCACTTTCGCAGTACTCACCTTACTTTCTTCTCTACCTTTGTGTCCGTCTTTCTTTTACATCTTTGAAACACTCTTCTGTCCCCCCCCCTCTCAACTTTTTTCGCTTTGATGTTCCTTCCCCTCGGTGAAGTCTGAAGTCGACTAAAAGGCTAATGATAACTATCAAAACGCCTGCCATTTGATATAAATAAATAAATAATATTTCTTAGCAGACAATCAGTAATTGTTATTAATTAATCAATTATTTATATAAACACAATGATTAATTGCGATCACATATTGTTGAAACATTTCAAGGTTTGGATTAGTTGCAAAGTGAAATAAAGTGACGGTCCGTTTAATTATGCAAGAGCATTGGCATGTTGCCAGTAGCTTGCTATGGTTCTTCCTATTTAAATATAAAATTAAATGTTAGATTATTTCAGTAGTAATGATTAAAAATGCTCTGCCAATGATTCTCTGCCCGTAATGTTGCTCAATTAATGGAAAAAATTAACCCATAATAAGCAGAAAAATTCAAAATCATATGGAAAAATGTGACTAGGGTAATGCTGGAATTGGATTGGGAATTTATGTTCCCAAAAGTTGTTTTCCTTTGATAAGTAATTTAAATCCCAAATTAATCGCAATACGTGATGATAATTGATTTCGAATTTCAGAAGTGGATTCGTAATCAGATGAGTCATGGTAAGGCAATGATGGACTGGAAACGCTGGCACACGTTGAGGCATCTATATTTATTCCATGATTTATTAGCTTATTTCATTCACAGCTGACTTGGAGGCATGCAACCTAGCCATAAATCTGCCCTTTCCCCGCTCTCTGCTACTTGACTTCTGAAAAGAAGACGAAGATGAAGAAGAAGAAGAAGAAGAAGAAGGGAAAACTGGTGATACTTTCAAAGCTCTTCCATTTTGACAAAAAAAGAGCAAAATATCCAACAACTGACTAATTTAATAGTGCGTTTTCGTATATAATCGCGAAGGAAAAGTGGAATAATTTTAGCGAATATTAAATACGCCTCTTTCTTCTTCTGGAAATATTGGCACTACTTCCGTTTCTATGCTTCTTAATTTATGTGGGCAGATACGATATTGATAGCGAAATCCGCAATTTATTAAATGTCAGTTTTACAAACAAGTAGATGAAAAAGGATAGACAGAATGAAAGAGAGTGTGAGAGAGCAGCTGAGTGACAAAGTGGGAGGGGTGTTCAAATAGCCGTGAAATCTGGTTAAAATTTATGAGATTACATATGCATACAACCGGAGTTCATTATTGGTGTTCTATTAGCAACAATATTATCATCAGGTCATTATATTTAAGAAAGTGTAGGCTATTTCGGCGTATTTAAACAATGATGGAAAATGTGCGCTCAGTACACGAAAATATATGGCAAATGTGGAGGGGAGAGATTGATGTTGGGTAGTGGGCGACTGATTGTTTCTCATGGGCTCAACAATTATGTCCTCTCGGGTTAGTGGTGTAAACACATGGGCTAAATACAAGCATTATAAACAGGCTAACTGAGTTGTGGTGGGTGGGTAATGGGTTGGAAAATCTTTGCCAGGTGTAGAACCCAATAGTTGGTAAAAGAGGTAGGGTTTGTCGGTGCTTCTCAAAGAGAAGATAAGGGTTATAGAAGACTTGTAAAGAGTTGATTGGGCATCAAGAATTGCGCAATCTTGAAAAGGACATCGACGTAGGGATGAACACCTGAATGAATTTCTACCAAATCCTGACCAAATATTGCGGACTTGATATAGAGAGGTATTGTTGCCAGACGAGCTAACCATTCATTTTGAATATGTGCGTAACAAGAGACAAAAACTCCGTCAATTATCATATCTCCACTAGTTGTCAAAGGCGCATAAACACCAGTCTCGCTGAGAGATGAATTCACGAGAGAGGTAGATTCAACCCTGCACAAGTTCTCAGGTCTGTCCAGATTACAGGCAATCTCATCACCTGGCCTTATTTGCTCAGCAAAAACAGTTGACCTTTCCCCCTTCCAGCGATGTATCAGATGATTAGCTGTCAACCTAATCTTCGATGGTGCATTGCTGTTATCTCGAAGAAAGGTGATTTCTATCCAAGGTGAATATTGGTGTTCATCTCTATGCAGAAAGGTGATGATTTTTGTAGGATAGAGCTTAAAGGTCAATGGATCTAGGGTCATTACTGAGTCGCCTATTTGAAGATCTGAGAGGGAGACGGGGGTGCCTTTTGGGGATGTTGCCTGAGCAGAACCGGGGAAGCATCCGAACCATTGTGACGTAATGATTGAATCTAAAATGGCATACATTGGGGGGAGGGGGGGGAGAAGAGGGAACATGAATTACAAAAATTATAGCTTGGCAATGATTAGAAGCGAATCATCTTGCTCTGCCACGGATACTTAGTAGAAGCATTAATCATGCATACAATGGTAGCTGAAGAATCATTTTTTATTTCCTCCCCTCCTCCCCTCCCTTAAAATAACCATCATAAACAAAACTGATCAGCCCTACTGTTGCATGTATACTAGTGCTTCTGCTGTGTTGCTGCTACCGCCACGCAATGTGGGTGGTCCCAACATTCATACGCACACACACACACACACACACGTTGCTTCCATACACGCTCTTCCTCTTTCTCTCTCTCCCTCTCTCTCTCTCGCTCGCTCGTTCGCACTCTACAGGCAATGATGATGGAATGAGCGGCCAAGCCAGTGGGCGGGCGAGCGGTCGGGTAAGCGACCGACTGATAGGTAGCAGCAGCAGCAGCACAAGCTGCTGCAACCAGGTAGGTAGGAGGCAGGTCCTGTACGATCACAACGGAAACAGCTGTGTGTGCGTCTAGGTCGACGACTTATCACTTTTTCCACAGTAAACTCGGTTTTAAGGGAGAGTGAATTTCAACCTTCTCTCTTTTTCTTCATTGCAAACCAATTACCTAGTAGAGTAAATGCATACTCCATTAGCCTAGAACTTTCCATACTTCGAATTCGATTTGCTCTAAGCAAAGATTATGATTATCTACTACTTGGTTTATGTGAGTTTAAGCTCCACTCGTACTCACGCCTTTACTTCGAGGAGTTTCAAGTTAGCTCAATAATTCCAAGTGTTATATTTGGCATTTCTTTCACAATGAAGTTACTCTCCCTCTCTCTCTCTTCCATATTCGATTCAAACTAGTTCCTGCTGGGATTTACCCTTGAGACAACTGCACACTTTCCTACTTTACTATAATAGAACTCAACTCCTTTCTTATAGCAGATTGTTTTTAGCGGTCGTTGTTGTGGGAGCTTAACTCAACATACCAGCCACTTTATTGCTTAATAAATTGTGAATCACCTCGGAACCTAGGGAACTCTTGTTGTTACTCAAGAAATTAGGGTAGTTAAGTAATAATGGGACGGATTATACATACATACATGCATACATACATACATACATACATGCATACATACATACATACGTACATATATATATATATATATATATATATATATATATATATATATATATATATATATATATATATGATAATAATCTAACAACATTTAGGAACTCGAATGGGAATCATTGTTTTACATACTTCGATATTTCCCATATATAAAAGTTGCAAAATACTTACTTTCATTTTGAGCATTAAATATTTGATCCTTGTAATTCTCATGCCTCTTTATCGATATGGCCCTCTAGAACTCATTTGTGGCGGATGTGGCAAGTGGATGCAAAAATACAAATAAATTTTTGAAAGCCCGTTTAAACAAAACCTGGCAAAGCAATCAAACTCAAAAATGTCGAATCTATGAGGAGTAGGAACGTGTTTCTAAAGGTGGAACTTATAATTTAATTATTAATATTTCCTAAACAGTTAAAAGCTAATGAATAGTAAACGAAGCATTTTGATTACCCCTTTTCTCAATACTAGATATATTTTATTACTTAATTACATAAGTATGTAATAGATAATTATGCACTTGTAGTTATAATTAGTTTGAACAATAACTACAAAGTATTTAGGAAGAAAATAAGTGCTTTTAAACCCTTTGCCTGAAAGAACATGTATCTTAAAGTTATTTCAAAAACAAATTATACTCACATGGGTGATTTTGGAGTTATCAGAATAGGATTGCATAAAAATTTCCTTATATACTCAAATGTGTCTGATTTTTCTAACCAATCAGTCGCAAATGACCCAGCATAAAGGTAATCTGAACACGACCAGTCGGGTTCTCTCTGGGTTCTTTCGAATTTTTCCGGAGTTTCAGTCACACATCAAACCAACTTAATTAGTAAGACGGGTAACTGTACTTATATGAGCAAAACGCATTATTTATTTTCGACATAGGATGATTTGCTTAAAATGCACAAGTTTGTTGTCAGGATGCTCGTGTTCGAAAATCACGAATTTCGGGCATGAATTCCGGAAAGTGACCACCCAAGCAGCCTTGGTAGTATAGCAGAAGCATTCCAAAGACAGACAAGCTATCGCTGCTACTGCCGTTATAAAACTCGTATGAGTCAGTAGAGAGGGGAGGAAGGGGTGGGGGGGGAGGTTAAATTACTTTTCGTCTACCCTCCAATTTCATTAATATAAAACTCGGCCTTCTCAAGTTTTAATCAAAATGAAATAGCATGCCAACTTACCGGGCTTAACGGAGCAGTGAACATGTCCTTGACGGGCAAAATAGCACCAATCAAAAAGAGCTCCATAATAGGCCAATTGAGCCAATTTTCCGGGGTAAACACTATTTTGCCTTGAGGATACGCTAATCCTTGTGTCAACCAAAATCATATCGAGGGCTCTGCCTGCGTAATGAAATTCCTCCATCATTATTGGGTACTCCTTGAAATGTCGGCGGAGATTTTCGAACCCTATGATGTTTGGATCACGTCCATACCGCTGTTGATCATGTGACATTGGGTAAGGTGGAAGGTTGTGGGTTTCTGAGGGCAATTCAGCTGATGTACTTCTATTCTGGCGGGGTCTTTGCATGACAAAGCGACTCCCTGAGTTGGCCACTTTGATACCGAGGCCGTTGTTACCGGGTTGGTGTCTAGGAGGGCTTGGATGTTGGTTCTGGTTTCCGTAATCCATTAATTCTTCAGGCTGTTAAAGAGGTAAGTGAATCTCAATTAATTTCTCAAGGGGCAAATTTCTCTGCGTGAAAGTTGGAAACGTTAGTGCAAAGTTACTTCGAAAAAAATGAGTAAAAGGAGGGTGAAGTGATTGGTCACACAATTTTTTAACTTAATCATGAAAGAATACAGAAGTTATTAGAAACAAATAGGCATAGAATGTGCCAATAAAAATGGACTATCAGTACTTTCAGTCTCATTTTAGAGGGGGACGCCATTTAAAATGGCCTACATGCTATTTTAGAAACAGGACTAAACTGACTATAAGCAAGAAGTTGCTGTATACCATACAGGTTTTAGCCTCCCTTGTGATGTGAAATTGCATTTTTACATTGTTAGCTATTCTAGCAGTCCAAATCAAAGTCTTCCATAGCCACCTTGGTCAATTTGTCATATCCATAACTTAGTTCAAGATTCTCTTCTAGCTCATCTTTGCATCCGATGGATCCAATAAAACAATACGGGAAAGATATCTGGAGACACTTTCATTTTAACCCATGGTCAACGTTTTTTACTCAGAAGAAATTCCTGAGTCACCACCTTGCATTCCGTGAAGCTGTAAAAGCTTAACCCTGCGATTCGTTTTTATTAATGTTCTTGTCAAATTTATAATCAGTTTGCAGATCCTAATGCACTGATCATTGAAGACCTGATATTTTTGCAATGCTGACTTCCTATTTTGTTTAGTAAACAGTTATATTACATTAAAAGGGGTGTGCAGTAGACTTACCTCCACGTGGTACACCCTGGGCAACGTATACTCATGCGGCGAATAAGTCTATTAACTGGCAGTTAACTTCTGACTTCAAACTACCACCACCCCACTATATGTCATATTCGACTACTTCCACAGTACTCACCTCACCATTCATCCACCTTTGCGTCTGTCTCTTTTACATCTTTGAAACACTCTTCTGTCCACTCCCCTCCCACCTCGACTTTTTTTCACTTTGATATTCCTTTCCCTCTGTGAAGCCTGAAGTCAACTTAAGGGCTAATGATAACTATTAAAACGCCTGCCATTTGATATAAATAAATAAATATTACATTAAAATCCATAATTTGGGGTGTGCTTTATTATGGTAAGGTATTCAAGCTTTACCTTAACAAGGGAACAGTTTTATCTCCGCTGACCACCAAGCCGGAGGTGATAAGTTTGTCGACCATCAGTGCATGTGTAGTTAGCAAAACTGTTAACCTCACTAAGTTATTCTGGCTGATAAAATGAATGACAGAATTCGAGCTTTGTAAAAACGCGAGTCTAAACAATGCCACTCCTCTGTTCAAAATGAGCTAATGAAAACGATTTGATTAAGGAGATTTGGCGTTAGGAGGCTACATGAAATAACTTCGAATTTTTTGGAGAGAATGGTTTGAAAGCGCGAAGTTGTTCTATTGACCATCATGTGCATTATCTTATGAGGGAGGGAGGGAGGGGGGGGGGGGACGAAATGTCCGAATCTTTAAACACAATTGCGTGCAAGCAATCCCAAAATAAGCTAATATTTTTTATCACCAGATGTTCATCCACTAACTGAAAAATTTCCTCTTCTTTTAAGGTGATCAAATCACGCAAATTTTAGCGCTGGAACATTTAATGAATATTCAAACCTAGGTCATATCCGTTGCAATGTAGTGTACAGATCAATGCTTCCTGAATTTTGAAAAGTCAAGACCCTTGTCACAGACTGACTTCATTGAGCGCTCCTACTTTTACTCCCTCTTCATCCCTCCCCCCCCCCCACCTCGACCCCCACATGTCTTTTGTCTTTCTTTACTCCATAATTTTCTTCTGCTATTGTTCAAATGTTATCCACTGATTGAGCTAACCCTTATCCTTCCAATAAGCGTTACTCTAACAGAGTCATGATAGATTTGCAGCAAATGAGGCATCATATCCTTTGTGGAAATTTCAGCAATACTAATTATTTCGTCTTAACTTGCGCCAAAAAATGGAGAGTTATATTAACATATTTAGGGTTAAAATCGCTTTTTTGCATATAACTACTTAAACAGACTTATTGTATCATGGGCAAAATTATTCAGATCAATGGTGATAACAGAAGTTCACACTGCGTGTATTAACTATATTTGATTTTTCATTGTTTGTACCTATTTTAAGAAAGAAAATATCCATTACCAGGAGCAACAACGAAATACATACCACTGTCATATGCAGAGTCTGCTTGAATCTCCCAGGAGCATTTCTCTTGGTCAGTTTTTTTGTGGGTCGTAGGATATTAGGAGGGGGTTTGATCCATCCATCTAAGATACGCAATCCCACATCGTTATTCGGCCAAGTGCTCTGAATGAGGCTAACCAGCTTCTGCAATCTATCTCGGCAGCCCTAATGAAGAAAAAAAGAATACAATGCGAATAGTTCAGATCTACTTTCGATTGGCAGATAACAGACGAATAATCGCGGTAGGTAGAAAGTGGAGATTAAGTGACTATCGAAATTATAGATAAAACATTAATCATCATTCATGAAAATGACGGTACTTTCACAGTGGAGGTGTAAAAATCCGCTATAAAAGAATTTTCTCAGCGCGCAACATAGATGCTGCGTACGTCTCCAACACTCTCCCAACTGCTACCTGTGTGGTCCCAAAGGCGCATTGTTAGTGCAAGAACTGAAAAAAATAAACACCCTTCGCTTACACACGCGAACATTGTGAATACACACACATTCGCCTGGGGTATTGGGCCTCAGTATCCCCAATTTCGCAATTCCTATCACGCTTCACTTTTGCGGTTCCTCTTCCCACCACAATGATGACTCTGAAGGGAGAATGAGGCATGCGTTTTGCGGAGGAAATGACAGAACTTTAAATTACACGAAAATGAATTGCATTTTACTTGATTTTTATCGATTACTGAACCCATTAAAAGTCTCTGGTTGAAAAATGCTCTGCGCTATCCAGATGCTAATTAATTGCGAAGTTTATGAATGCCTGCCTTGATAATCAATAAATTTTTTTACAGTGAGTCATACCGAGCTCAGTGTACTATTGGAATATACTATTCTTTGAAAAATGTAATGTTAGAACAATGAAATAACAAACAATTTATGCATTTTTCTTCTGCAATATTGATCTTGAATGTCATTCCTCACTCCTAGTTGGAAATGGCCGTTAAAATACCCTCCGAATCCTATTTTATGCATTCCATTCAAGCAAGTTTATACCAATACGTTGATTTCTTCGAAAAAAACCGTAATCAGCCTATATAACACTAATGGCAAGCAATTTTGAGGTAAAAAATCCTCTCTCTCCCAATTTTGCACTGAAACCACACACTTTAGTTCAATTTTAGAAGTTAATCGCGTAAATTTTCAAATCTCTTCAAGCTATTGTTTAAAGCTTTTGGTTAATGAATGATTAGTATGAAGTTAAATCTTCAATTGGAGTCTTCAAACAAAATGGAGAAGAGTACACAATCGAGTTCAGTTAAATCTGATACAAAAAAATAAGACCAGTTATAAGTCGATCTCTAAAGAGTGCTTCGTCACACTTCTTCAATGTGAAGCGCCACACTTCAACTCCCAATTCATTAAAACCTATTATTGTTTCTAAAGTCTGCCTTTATCTTTAAATTTACCCTCCTCCAACTCATTGGTTAACTTCGGACTATAAAATGGCAGATTTTTCCAAGAATATACCTAACAAACCAAGAAAACGGCTCAACGAAATGCCGAGAGACAAGAAGAAGAATAAGGCATGGCTAAAATCACATAGAAAATCCCGGTTTATAAGGAATTATTGTAATGGAGAAGAGAGTGTCCCTGTATCATCACACGTCGTTTTGCCAAGAGCTAATCAGAGCGATCCCATTCTTGGGCATGGGAATTCATGGACGCATACGAATGTCCATGTTCTGTCCTTGCCCCTCCCCCCCCCCTCCTTTCTCTACGTCAGCCGTTCATTAACCTCTCTCTTTCTCTCTCTCTGTGTTACCAGCTATTCGGTTCGCTATCTACCTGACTAACCAACTGTTTTCTCTTTCTCATCAACCTAACTCCCATCGCACTATTGCACTTACCTTAACTAAGGCTACTTTCTTCTGCTTTCTAGAAGTTTATCTAAAATTGCGACTTGCATAATTGAAGGGATTGCAAAAAGTCACAGTGTGTAATGATAATGGTCTGGTTTTGAGGCATGTGAATTTCTTCGTGTTGTGCATACATCGTTGCTGTCATTCCACTACGAATTGATAGATTGGGTGTATGTGGGGGCACATATTTTGTGGTTTGTGGCTCGTTGGTTTATTTGGGAGGAAGCAACGACGCACTAGTACAAATGGATTTTCGGTGGGTTTGAAAATGATAGACTGTCAATTGTACCCAATTATAGTTAACCAAATTTCTCGGAAAAAAATATATTTGACTTGCCGCATAAACATTAGATTAATATCTTCTTCTCAATAAAGTAAAAATAATTTTCATTGTTAAATTATGGAAAATAATTGACTTCGAATAGCAGTAAGTCCAACAAGCCATTAGTGGGAGAGGAGGTCAGATAGAGAACCGAGAACAAAGTCAGGGTATAAAGAGTCTTCACTTGATTTTTTAACTTCATTAGTACAAATCTCTCCCATTATCCTCTGCATTCCAGCGCTTATTGGCCAGTATCATTTTCCCTAGAAAGGACGATCATCTACCCACCCAAACATTCTGGAGGGTGTGGCCATGCGTGCAGACGACCCCCCAAATAGTCATTCATTCATGTTCATACAAATTATGTGTGATACATGCGATCACTTCTTATGCTTTTTTTTCTGAGATCATAATTTTCGATAAACGCTTCACCCCCGACACGTCTTCCACCTCTATATCGTTGCATTAGTTCCAGTCCTGGGAGGCTTTCCGAACTGGGAGAACTAGCCATAGAGATTACTGAAAGTAATTCAAGGCTATTTGTGTAGCAATCCGCTACAGTGTCACCTCAGTCCATCTTTCCTCCAATGATTTGGGGAGTTAAATACACATGATACTTAATAGTCCAGCGTTTTAGTATATTTGAAATATCAAAAGTTTTGAATATAAAATCAGAATAAAGAATATTTGCTCAGAAAATAAATGCCAGAGGTCAAGACACATTCACTGTAACTGTCGAATAATTATCTAATTGAAATGACATTTGAAGCTATTTGTTCGGAAATTCTGCGATGACACGCTATTCTGAAGTAGAGCAAACTTTTGAAATCCTCACACACTGGACATCTTTGGGATTTTAGTTTTATTCAGGGAAAAAACCTAGGACAATGTTTGATGGAAAAGTTTTATTATTTAACTTTTCAATTTTGCCATAAACTGGTCAGAGTAGATCAGACTCAAATTGAATAATAATCAAATTTAAGGAAGACGATGAAGTCATTGCCTTCTTCATCCAATAATGTGACATTGTGTCAAAATCGAATCTCAGGGCTTTTCGTTATTGCATTTAAACATAGATCAGATGGAATCTTGTATTCCAATCTCCTTTTCGTTGAGAGAAGTCTAACTTATTTCTTTTGAATTGATAATTGCAAATACTCAATTGGGCACAGGTTTGGAACCAGTAATGAATTTTCATTACCAAATTTTGAGAGAAAATAAAATTAAAATAAAACTTGTTGGAGGGGAGATTTTGATATCTGTGCTACAGATTATTCTTATCGAATAGGTATTTTGGCGAGGCAAGATCAATTCAAAGGGTGCTTTCGCTTGATTAGATTTACGATTACAAAAATTAAATACATTTCACCCTTTTTTTAACTTCGTACGCTTCGATAAATGCCCAAATTCGATTTTAAATAAAATTAAATTAAAAAATGCGCATGAAATTCAGTTATTTATTACGTCCATTTACGTAAAATAATTGTATTTTCAAGCTTGCCCACCAGATTCGAGTTCCAGTGAGATGGATCAAAGAGCTTCCATGCATTGGGATTTCGGGTTAATTTCACATTTACTTCGACTTAAAGAGTAATAAAGAGGAGGTTCGGATAAAAGAACATGAGTTCTACGCGAATACATCGAAATCTCAGAAAAAATAACTTCTTTTATTGACAATATTTTATCGGTCAGTGATCTTCGATTTAGTTTTCTTCCGACTTCAAGCGCCCCCCCCCCCCCGCCACCTCCCTCTTTTATCTCAACCATCACAGAGTTGCATTCTGGATATTAGGCCACAACTCGAAAGTCTAATCCCCTGTGATTAAATCTAGATGTTGTTATTGTTGTTGTTGTTGTTGGGGGTGGGGTGGGGTGGGGGGTGGAGGTGGGGGTGGGGGTGGAGGTGGGGGTGGAAAAAAAGCATGTAAACGCAAATGCGCGACGACTATGACGACGACTACGATGACGTTGTTGTAAACGATAAAAGACCTCGCCACCCACATCATTTTCGAAAAGAGTGGACCTCGATTGTGGCTAAATAAACACACCAGCAAAGTGTAGAGAACACCCTTCTAACAAGGCGGAAGACATGTTCTTGTCCCCCAAGTCAGACAACAGCAACAAGCGCCTTTCACAATCACCAACCTTTCAATCGGGCTGGGACTCTTGCCGAGCCTTTACTATGTAACTGCGCAGAATTTCCTACATTTGTTCAAGTTAAATTGATGCTTTGTGGAAAATGACATGGTGATCCACATTCAAAGACATCATGCCAGTCCGAAATTCTAATTTGTTAAACCACGTCCTTAAAATTGGCTGCCACATAAATCAACTCTCTGGGTATATAAATTGTGGCAGTTTCGTTTGTTAGCAGTCTCTTTTTTACAAAATACAAACTAATAGGATGGTTGCAGAAAAATCGATTAACTTCGTTCATGAAATCCAGTGACCTCTGTCAATTCTTAGTAATTTCCGTATTGAAGAATTTTGACAAGATTAAGTAGAACTTGAAATCGCCAAAATGCAAAGTGGACATTGTGAAATTTCTTTTGACTCCTGATATTCTGACACCCTATTCAAGACGTTTCCCATTATGATTTTTACTTGGGGTGTGCGATAGACTTATCTCCACGTGGTGCACACTGGGCAACGTATACTCAAACGGCAAAAAAGTCTATAAACCGGAAGTTGACTTCTGACTTCAAACTACCATTATCCCACTGTTTGTCATATTCAACTACTTTCACAGTACTCACCTAACCTTTTTTATACCTTTTCTACCTTCGACTTTGAAACACTCTTCTGTCCCCCTCCCCTCTCGACTTTCTTTCACTTTGATGTTCCTTCCCCTCTGTGAAGCCTGAAGTCAAATAAAGGGCTAATGATAATCATCAATACGCCTGCCATTTGATATAAATAAATGATTATTACTTTGTATGAAGTTTGTGGAGCTGGCAATCGTAATTATAAAGTAAATGAATTAAACATTTCACCAATTTATTTCCGACTGGGGAAAACTCTGAGTATTTTAGGCAGCATGAAACACAGGAATGCTTCAAATATTGTCTGTTAGCTCGTCACTTTCTGTCAAAGACATCAGGCGAAATCTAAGATGGAATTTTGAATGGGCAGCTTAACCGTTTACTAAAATCACCAATGCCACGTCTTAATAAGACCTGAAACACCTGAAGAAAACACAGGTGCTTACACTACTTTTACCCTCAGGACCTTACTGTCCTCTTTCAAAATTAGCCCCACTGGAACTAGACTCGTAATGAAAGGCGCTATTGCCGTTTGAAGTATGTTCAATTCTCCCATAGCCTTCTCCTGATACACCACCAAAACTCATCACCTCGGCTGCATCAGTCTACTGTGAGACACGCGTGAATGCGGTTGAGTGCACTTTCTCAAAAAATAATTCGAGCATTAAAGGGTTAAGGAAGGTTATTATTAAGCAAAAAGTATACATCTTAAACAGCAAACCTCTCTCAATATTTCAGAAACCAACATTAAGCTTGAACCTGCTAGGTTATTTCAATGCAAGCGACCTGTTAACTAAAAGATTGGCTTTCATTGGTTAATCCAATGAGCAGTTGTAAATATGTGGCACAGGCCAAAAATCGATTCTAAAAATGAATAATTGGTGAAAATCATTTTTCCCTAAAATTGGTTCGCTCTAATATTCCGTTTCTGGAATTCTGGGAAAAATGTGGACGATCAATAAAAGTACCATTTTTAATTTTAAGTCATGATTAATCAGCCATTTGTTCTTGAGACTTTCAGACAAGCCTTCGTCGTTGTTGAGCTGACATCGTTTAAATTCCTTGATTCGATTATGCTGGAAACTTATTTTTTATATATTGGAAGAATCATATCTACCCAAAATTTTCAATTCTTGAAAATCACCAACCAATTAAATCCCTCTTCCTTTCTTAATGTTATCCATCCAATCAAATGAGCATATTACTATTGGTGAAAAATAATTTGATAGATAATTAGTGCATGCACTGGATTCACAAACTATTAAAGCAAAGTAAAATGCGAATATCGCATAGTTTCTGTGACTGGGAAACTGGCATTAATAAATTAGTTTGTTAATGTGTACTCTTTATGGTGGGGGAAATGGGAAATCAACGACGTCCATTTGCTTGAGGTCGACAGAAAATAAAATCGAATTTATCTAATAGGAACAAGTTCGGCACATATCCCTAAAGAACGTTGGCAAAAATATGCGGATAATATGTCCTCGACAACAACAAACTGTGGTATGAAATCTTGATTTCTCACGGGTGCATTTTTGGTGTCGTTTTATGGGAATCTGCAACTAGCAATAAATTGGTCCAGCATTTTTTAGTACTGTTTCCGAAATTTAAAATATCGAAATTTAGTAAGCAAATTTACGTGATAATTAGGCAGAAGTATTTGTTAGATAGAGTTCATAATATCTAAAAAGAGGATTTAATGCCATCAACAATAAGCCTAAACCAGCACAATCGAAAAGTGAGGATAAATCAAAACAATTGGCACGTCGGTACTTCATGGTCCCCATAATCGTATCTAATAGCAGCCCATTTGTGGAGGCGTTACATTGCAAGAGGTACATTTCTGCATATACCCCAACCTACACGCAGGCATCCTAAATGTGGTAAGAAGCCCAACCACCCCACTTCTTGACCACTTGTGTGCCATCGCGTCGTTGTCGTCGTCGTCACATGCGTGTGACTAACCTAAATCCTCTCCTCCTCCCCCCCCCCTCTTGCCACCACCACCCCCACCACCATCACTCCACCCAGATTGCGGAATCGACAGTCGCCTGTCCGTCCGCTTTCTCTCCGACTAGCCCTAAAAGCCAGGCCACACACACACAGCCGGACAGGACAATTGACCCACTGATTTCAAAAGTCACTTGGTGGCCCTCTCCCCGCCAAGACCGAATGGGGGACAAAGTGCTCTCTTCCCCTCTCCTTAGAAATTGCCATTATTTTGCATGTAAGCGGTTAATAGTACAATTATCCATCTGCACACAATCAAATTGTAATTCAAGGCAGACAACAATAGCCCTATATCAGGAGCCAATTCAGTAGTAATAAATTACTTGACTGAGAATTTATTGTGCTTCCCATGAAAATTTCTAAATGTCCGCGTCTCCTACAGGCTTATCCAAGAGTCACTAAAACAAATTTAATGAACGGATACGAACAAACATGAGAGATCATGGTTCTTTTCTCTTCATAATATTCAAATTAATTGTAAATGGAAATTAAAAAGACTAACACATTTGCTGAGGTTTGTCCTAAGTCCATTTAAGAAAACATTTTCCAGCATTTATTTTAAATCGAGAATTAGAATCACGGAATCCCCATAGGGGGGTGGGGCAATCCACAATTCTATTTCCTCTGCCAGAAGGCAGGCCTAACCATCAAGGACGACCATTCCACTCACTTTGCCTTCACCAATGGATAGCGAACCCGCGACTCCAATTTAACCAGTGTCACCGGTAGATATGGCAGATAAGTCGCCAATTAAAAAAAAACGGTTCAGTATTAAGAGGTTAAGAACCGCTCTCAGTGCGTGCGGTGGGGGGCATGGGGTTAGCTATGTGTAAACAAGCGTGCAAGCGTCACATGTTTTGAAGTTAGGAGGAGGAGGAGGTGGAGAAAAGGAGGTGGCGCCTTTCCACCTTTCCTTCCAATCTGATCTTACACCATTAATAATTACTGTTTTTACGATGTCACGTTTTGAACCTAATTTCTCGCTTCTAGCTTCAAACATATCTTCGATAGTAAGCTCCCCTGTTCAGACAATTACTGTAAAGAATTGGTAAGTAAACAATTTCTTTTGCTTAATTGGAATTAAAAATTTACTATGGGTTTGGAATTTTTGGATACGGAAATAAATTAGTTTGCATGCAAAGAAATGGGGATTCACTTTAATGCGTAAACTGATACACTGGAAATATTATATTAGTCAACATGAGTTATAAATTTGAATACTTCAATGAACTAGTGAAGAGGTGGAAATGAGGAGATGACACCACACAATGAAATGAATTTTGATTTAACTTTTTTATTTTATGATATTAATGTTTTGGTCCCGCGTCGACACTGGTTGGAGTTGTTGATCTCGTGTACAAAGTGAATAGCATGAGCGTAATGATAAATGGTAATCTGCAACCAAATGCATTCTCTGCGTAATTTGAAACCTCTGAGATATATATATATATATATATATATATATTGAACTAATTTTTAAATCAAATTTCTATCAGTGAAAATGATATACTTTTCGGTAAAAGCTTTTGAACATATGTACCAATCAAGAAATGTTGCAAATTTATCTTAACCATATCAAGCGTTATTATAAAGTGAAACTCCCATTAACTCACCGCTAGAGACTAACGCCATTATTTTTCATAAAAAACGAAATACTCACTTTTGTCATCCATCGAGCCTCTTCGCTTGCAAACTGAATGTTAGGTGCATCCATGCGTACTAGTCGTGTTGTGGGAATGCTGGCTAGGAAGTCCTGAGTCTCCAGGGGTCCACTGGCTTCCAGACTGCGCTCTGGTCGCATTGGACGATATTCCTCAGGAACAAAGACGTGTGTTTGAGAGCGATATTGGGATCTGTAGTAGGTGGAGGTTTTGATGCATGCTCTGGTTTGATCAATCCAGAGCAAGAAAAGGAGAATTGGGATTAATTTTAAACTTAAAACCATGATTGGGAGTTTCAGGTCACCACTTGTTAAGTACGATAGTTGAGCGTATGAATGTGCATAGGTTCGATAACGTCTTATTCATTTAAGCGCATTCTTCCAGAAGTGACGCGCATTTCTACTGTCTTCTCCCAAAGCCTGATTTACTGAATGTGAAGAAGTGCGCACGTATCGTCACACGGACATGTCAATTGGCCAATAGCCAATCACAATGCCACACTGTCAGTTAGCGTGTGCTCGCAAATATAGTTGAATTGGTGAACGAGCCAATCGCAACATTAACTATTGTATCGCGATTTAAGAATCGGCCTATTAGAAAAGGGTTCTTGAAAATGCGATTCGCAGATGCGCAATGTTTTTCCGATAAAGGTGGTAGGGTTTTCACAATTAAATTGATTTGTCATCATAAATTTTTGATATTCATGTGATTATAATTATAAATAATATATAACACTTGTACCCCGTAATTCTCACTAATTGTCTTTATAATGGGAGAGCAAATATATAAAATCGGTAATAATATTTAAATACTGATGGGGAGATTCGAGTTGTCAATTGGTTCATTTTTAAGAATTCCTGCTTTGTTTTGATCAATTGCTATTTTAAATGTCAGAACTTTTATTATTGGTTTATCTCTCACCCAGACTTAACATATTAATGCCCAATCGATGATATATATATATATATATTGAACTAATTTTTAAATCAAATTTCTATCAGTGAAAATGATATACTTTTCGGTAAAAGCTTTTGAACATATGTACCAATCAAGAAATGTTGCAAATTTATCTTAACCATATCAAGCGTTATTATAAAGTGAAACTCCCATTAACTCACCGCTAGAGATGAATTCTAAAATAGTTTTTTATGAACACATTTGGAGCGGATTTTCTTCAGACCAAACAATGTTACAATAAGATCGTTATTGTAGAAGATCAAAAGCAGGTGTTTTATAGAACCATCGAATTCCATTGATTATTCTTATAGCTTTTGAAATGTCACCTGTTACAGATTGTTAGTTAATTTAGTGATAGAGCTTACAGGAAACTTTATACTCTACTGTGAGCTGGTTCTGTGTTAAAGGGCCAAATACAATGGGAAAAATTTTGTAATCAATAAGTGGAAAATATTTCCCTTTTTCTGCTTCATATTTTCAATGTAGTAAGGTGTCCGGCTGCGAACCATTAACAAATCGTTTTTTGAGTGCCTTTATTTTAACTAAATTAAATTAATTTGAAAGCGGTTTCATAGTGGAATGGATACCCAGATCCCTCGGTTTTAACATATTTTAAGAATATGTGGATATTCCTTTTATTAACACAAAAAACAATATTTTTTACAGGTTTAACTTAGAGGCCGATCCTGATATTCACTTTACTACATATTTGAACAGCAGTATACATTTTGCACAGTTCAATAACGTTTTTGTGTGTGGAGTTTAATAGTGTGTTCATGTGTGAAGATTGAATCATTAGCTTAAATTTAGTTTCATATGCCTCAATCTATTGAATAAGGCCTAAATAATCCCAAAGTAACTTGACAATCAACTGAAAACGAGCATTTAATCAGTGAACTAAAACAAAGTGAGGATAAGTTCACTCCTAATTAGAGTAAGAAGAAAATTGATGGAATATGAGATACTGAGGTGCTTTGGACACTTCTCTTAAGCTCATCAGGTCGTCCATTTTCAATTCCTTTTGGATACTTAACTGCGTCGTGACTTGATTTCCAAATGACATTCTCTCCGCTTTAGGAATAAGCCCAGAGTTCATAACCACCTTAGTTACACTGAGTGAAAAATACTTTAACATATTTGAACAGGGCATGATTATCATTACATTAACAAAAAAGTTTAGATTTTATTCAAATTGTATGAAAATGAGGAGGCCGTACAATGTTTGCTTAATCATATTTACAACGTGGAGTCAAAACTTCCTCCAATAAATTTGCATAAAATAACATTGTGACTTGGGGTGTGCGATAGACTTACCTCCTCGTGGTGCACCCTGGGCAACGTATACTCATACGGCAAAAAAGTCTATAAACCGGAAGTTGACTTCTGACTTCAAACTACCGTGACCCCACTCTATGTCATGTTCGACTACTTCCACAGTACTCACCTCACCTCTTTCTACCTTTGTGTCTGCCTATTTTACATCTTTGAAACACTCTTCTGTCTTTTTCACCTTGATGTTCCTTCCTCTCTGTGAGACCTGAAGTCAACCAAAGGGCTAATGATAGTTATTATTAAAACGCCTGCCATTTGATATAAATAAATAAATAACATTGTGACTTTGCAATTTTTTTTCTAGGTACATGACGACGCTGCTTTCATGAAGTCCTTTTTTAATTATCCCTGTGCGCATGGAATTTTCATTCGCCTGGCAATTTAATACCCATTTGGAAGTCAATTTGTAACCCGTCAAATATTTTATTTCAAACAATGTTGGAATTTAAGAGCTTAACCAATTAAACCAGCGTGTGTGTGCGTGCGTGCACGCTCGTATGGGTATTTATCCACATTTAAGTAACATAAAATTACGAGCTGAGCAAATTAGGCGAGAGTGACTGGGACAACTGTTATCCCCCTGTCAGGTCCACAGGGTGCCTTACCTACCGCAGGTAATGCTACTTTGAAGGGCCTAATTAGACGCACCAGCATCAGCCCGTAATCCCCCCACCCCTCCCCCCACTAAACCCTTGTATACAGCCTACCTGCGAGCAAGCCAATATTCATATATGCTGACTTTCCTCCTATCAAGTCTAATTTCCTTTTTTGTCTCTTCAAATCTCCCTACATGAACATGATAATATGAATCTCGCGCTTCTGGAGGTTAACAATTTCGCCACGAAGTGGGAAAAATACACGTTCTTATCCCCAATCTCTGTAACTCTCTCTCACACACACACACACACACACGCCCTCTCTCTCTCCCTCCCTGTCTCTGTCTTTCTGGGCGTGAATGGCCGGAGATGCCGATGGGATTTGTCGAATGGAGAAATTTGTGAGTGCAATTATAGTTTTGGTCTTAGAGCAAATATTCCCGATTATTGATTTTGGTAAAAATGTGATTTGTATGCAAACTAAGGTTTCCAGATTAACTTGAATTGACTTCTAGGATAAGATAAGTAATAACACAGTCATGGATACAGAATATGTGGTGGGGGGTGGTATGGGGCAAAATAAGAACTTGAAAAGATCTTGTGATCCTGAAGTGTCAAACTATCTTTATTTTAAAAATACCAATGGGAGTCGTGCAATTGAGACTCATCTGTTGGGGGAGGGGGGGGGGAGATTAAACGCATTTCCCAATTAGAGAAATAGGAGCTGGTTTGCCACTTTTCTACTCAAAATTAGGACTGTTTATCAGTTTGAGATTAATTTTATATCCACCAGGGCCTTTAATTGAAAAGTGGGCTTTAGACCTGGAGAGGGGTGGAGGATTTCGAACTTTGACCTAGTATAGTTAAAGGCTCCACCACCCCCTCCCCCATTGTTATTATTTTACTACATTGCACAGGACTTTGAGAGATGATTCCTTAAGGTCTAATCGGCGCCTTTTGAATTATTCTTTAGCTTTCACGAATAAATTAAAATTGTCACAGTGGTATCATTTACTGCAAGTGATTAAAATCTCTTGAATGTGTTTCTGGTAAGTTTGAACATATGACTTTGAATTTCAGTGGCTTAAGTTACACCTATAATTCAGATCTCTAAACGCGAGCACAGTGTTTCCATAGTTATAGTAAGATCAATTTGTGTTTAAATTTGTGTCACTGAAAGTAGGACATCTAAGAAACACAATATGATAGCTAGTAACTGTCGGCGTTTCAAAACCACTTCCTAACCGATGTTGGTACAATATTAGTCAAATCAAACACGGTTTATTCGCCCCGTCAAGGTTATTTATGTTGAAATACGATACTCATTGTGGTTTAAATTAAGACAAAGATATTCGAGCCGACAATCTACTTTGAATTTAACCAGCCGCTTCACTAACATCGCTAAAACTTTATAGCGAACAAAGAAGGGTAATTGCTTTGGACTCTCAATTATAAATAATACACGCCCTATTGGAATGATTTAATTGGGGAAAGAGTAGAAACGGGTTTCAAATTATCCACTTGGGATAGTCTCTATATATTGCAAAAAATAAAATAATATGCGTTAATAGGAGTGTAGCAAAGTGAATTCTGCTCTGCTGTGTTAATTGCTAGTGATCTGAAGTCGTTGAAAGAAGAAGGGATTTGAGGAGGCAATGGGGACAATCATATTGCCTCAACCGATAAATAAGCAACAAAGGCGGTGGATGAGGAAATTTGGCTCATAATCCTGACGACGGTATTATGAGAGTTGAATGTTGAAGCGAATTAATGCAGCCAAATGCCCATTTATAGTGAATGCTTCGCATTCTGAATCCGATGATTAGGGAAGCACACTGTTGACAAACCGACTTTATTTTCAACATAATCCCTTCATTTCTTGAGCCCAATTTCACTTTCTTTCCTGTGATGAAAAAATGTTGATTTTGCATTGTCCTGTGCAATCAATGGGTGACTGCACGAACAGGAAGTTAGTGACTTCTACAGAAGAAGAATTCAAATAAGTATCCGCCGAAGCGCCAGATACAACGAATTTTGTTCCCAAAGCGAATCGAAAATCCTCCTGTAGGGTTCTTTAGCCTCTGTCACCACGTTAATTTTTTTTAAAAAAGAAATATCTCAAATTTCTTTAACTTTATGAATATCTACTTTTCCTAAATAAACCAGAACTTACTATAAATTGCCATAAAAATTACTGATAAAGTAAACTAAAGTTGATGAGGCTGTACTATTCTTCAATGTATTTCTATTTCATCAACAGCGAACTTACTGAAATCGTAGCGTAAATTTAGGCAATCTATTTATAAAAATGGCAGGCGGTTTGATAGTTGTCATTAGCCCTTTAGTTGACTTCGGGCTTCACAGAGGGG